CCCCAAAACCCCAAAACCCCAAAACCCCAAAACCCCATTTATCCAAGGGAATTTTGAATAAAATTATTACAAAATGTGAAGTATCGTTTCTTTACTTGATGTATCTATCTTCTTAAAGAGACATTGACTAGTGTTGAGTTGTGACTATGTAAATTATCAGGAGAAATTCTGAGGTCATGGGGAGACTCCCAGAACTTAGCTTCCTTCTTGATTTCTTCAGGAAGTTTTATGATTTCTTTGGAATGTTTCCTTGTAGTTATTCTATTCAAGGGGTAACCATTGTAGAAATTCATCTTAAAATGAACATTTTAAAGCCTGTTAAATTTTATTCCAAAACTAGTATAGAGAGAAATTACTTGATATTTTTATGTAGGTTCCGGATATTCATCAACTTCTCCATATTCTTTTGGAGCTTACTAGAGTTACCACTAGCATTGTTTATCCGAATATTGCTAACTTTGATATTATTTCCTGATTGGTGGTTCGTCTTGATGAACTGATCTTCAGAGTCGCTCTCTAAATAGATTCAACTACCGATGTCTACCTCTTAATTATCTATAGGTATAAATACAGCTTTAGTACATTTGAAATCTTTTCTTTGAAAATATTCTGATCCTTACTTCAGCTTGGTTTTTGTTTTAGCAACGCTCATTCTTAAGTTTGCATTAAGGAATATATTCCTTCTACAGATGGTTGAGTTACTCTTACGTCTTTTTCCTGACAAATTTTGAGATCCTCTCTTGCTAAAGATTAGAAGGAAATTTACAGAATTGCTGAACTGGGATGCTTTCCTAATTCCTAGATTCATGTCTAAATTTGAGCTCCATTGACATACTGATAATTTTAGGATCAAGAGATTGAAAAGCATCCTCAATAATAGTCATCTGCCTTGTCTTTAGTTGAGATTTTTTGGAGTTAAATCTCTTAGGAGATTTCTTGATTGTTATATTTTGAGGAGCTATCTTCATCTTGTCTTTGAAACCATGCAGTTCAATTTTCTTGGAAGAAAAGTTGTATTCTGATCTGAAGGTCGATGGCTTAGGACCCACTCTATATAATCATTTTTAACAAATACTTATCTGGGTATCTGATTCTAAAATCTGATTTCAGGTCTAAATTCGAAATATTTGATGTTTCTATTCCTCATAAATTTGTACAAACCTTTATCATATTTTTCATAATAGTTTTGGCCAATTTCAAGAGATAAGTTAACTTTTTCTTGCAATCTAGGAATGTAATAAACTACATTCCTCTTTTGATAAATTTTAGGTTGTTCTATAAATTTAGGTTTAGTTAATCAAGCTCGAAATAAACAATTACTGTGTTCGAATGGTTCTCTTTGCGGAAATCTTTGCATTTTGTTTGGAAAAATGATCGGACTGAGTGAATTTCTCTCTATAGTACCGCAAATTAATGTTAATTTCTCCTGATTATATTTATATCCAAATCTAAGATGCTCTTGCTTGGCCCGTTTAATTTATACCCCAAAATATTTAAGGAACAAATTATAAAAATATCAATATAACTACATCTCCATCATTACTCAAGCTTAATCACCACCAACTACACCATAAAACCCCCCAAAAAATCCCTCAAACCCCCAAACCATCTCTCCCTCCCAACCAAATCCCCAATCCCACCCCTCTCCATCCATTCCACCCCAACATTATTTCCTAAACCCCACTCCACTTCCCCCAACTCCTAAAATCTCACCTGAAACTTTACTTTCCTCCTCCAGCTCCGGAAAATCCGCACTTGTCTCTACTGATCTCATGTCCTATACAGCACAGTCACTCGGGCTCTTCAGGCAACAAAATTTGTACGTGGCCAAAGTTGCAGCTTAGCTAAAGTTATGAGCTTACCTTCATATTTATTAATTTTTATAGGAAATTCAATGATTAGGAAATTAGATGGGGTTTTGGGGTTTTGGGGTTTTGGGG